GGCCAGCCTGGGCTACAATAATGAGACCTTGACCAAAAAGAAAAAAGAAAAAAAAAAAAAAAAAAAAAAAAAAAAAAGACATTTCTCTGTGGCATCAATTTCCACCTTTGTTTCTTCATGATACATAAAAAGCAAAATGCACATATAACATGCCCCAGCATACAACCATATGTGTACCTAAAACTGTACACAATTCCCAGCCAAAAGAGCTATAATTTCACTTATTTCTCTCCACCCAGGAAAGCATAATAAAAACAGGGGTATATATTATATTTCAATGGAAGATTTTTGAAAACTTAGTAAAAATGAGTTTTATTACTATGTACATGATTTTATGTTCAATTTATTTTTTTTAAACTAAAGCATTAGTACACTTTGGCATTTTATTACTATTAACAAATCACTTGTAACACATCTCACAAATGATCATTATATACTGATAAAACTGTTATTTTATATGGCATTCAGCATGCTAGACAAATGAGCTTGTCTATCCCATTAATCAATTACACAATTAGCAGTTGCTGATGCGGCTGGATGACGATGACGACAGAAATGATGCAAACTACTGCGTGCAGCAAGTGACTCTCCTGACAGTCTTCTAAGGACACGCTGACTTCTCATGGGGTGCGTCTCACTAATACCTTAACAGCAAAGCACGGTAGCTGCGCTCCTGCCTGAACTTCATGATGAGCACAGGCATTTCCATGACAACCATCATGCAACAGTATACCTCTTGTGCAACAGTGTGGCTACTATCGCAATCTTGGGTAAACCTAGTAAACTGTGAACTTTATCTAGCAGGGCAGGCAAAGCTTTTGCTGAATCTAGGGAAAAGCCTTCCACTGACAATGCAAATCTCCTACTTTCAAGTAGTTCTTTTACAATAAGGAACATGCTGAGCGCGGAACTCCTTGGCTGACAATGAGAATTTAAAGGCAGGTTAACAATAGCCCTTCTCCAAAATCCTTTGGATTAGAAAGCAAAGTTTCAGATTTCGAAGTTTTTCAGGTTTTGCAGCTTGTTTTTTACTTTGTTTTGGTTTTGGATTTTGGAATTTCAAGTTAGGGATGTTCAACCTGTATGTGTGTTTTTTTTTTTTTTTTCTTTCTTTCTTTTTTTTTTTTTTTTTTTTTTTTTTTGGTAACAGGGATTGAACTCACAGCCTCATGCTTGACAGGCAGGCAGTTATGCTGCTGAGCTAAATCCATGGCCTCTGCATGTCATTTTAAACTGGTGTGGAACCCATTTTCAACACACCGTAATTGTTAATCACACAAACGTCTCTATTATTTGATCTACTGCATTGAAATTCTAAAAATGTCATGTTCTTCCCTCTTTAAAAACCTTTCAATATACGTCAGGTGGTTTAGGTATAAATCTATTTATAGGCCAAAAATCTTTTATATTCTCTAGCCCTACCATCCTAGCATGCTTAGAGACCGATCTAACCACAAACTTCTAAAATTTATTTTCTTCATTAGTGCTGTGTACGCAGTCACTATTTAGAAATTCTTGTAAAAGTCGACTGCGGAGGAGCTTAGGTCAGTCTTGCCCTGGAAACTTCTAAACATCAAACAAACAGCCCAAAAGAATGTCCTGCTCAACAGTCCAAGGTCATCATTAATCGATTCCATCTGTTCCCCCTCACTGAGGTATCTGCTGCTTTCTGCTTCATTTGCATTATATAGTAAAGCAAGAAAAACATAAAGAACCATGTTTTATATTGCACAGTATTTACCTGGACCCAAATTTGCTTGACAGCCACCTTACTGTTCGCACACTAGGCTACTTTCAAGTAGCATTTGGGAGTGTATAAGCATATAAATGTAGGTATGTACATCCAGGTATGTAGACATTGAGGGGCAGAGCCAAGGATTAAATGCAGAGCCTTCACAGTGACCTAGTCCATCACACAGCCTTTCTTGAGACAGCGTCTTGCTGTTTAATTGGTGAGGCTGGCCTGAACTTAGTATCTTCCTGCCTCAGCTTCCCAGAGTGCTGGGATTACCAGCATGTACTACCACACCTGGATTAAATTATATATACTTTCAAATAAACTGCTTAACAAATTTTTCACTTGGTCATAACGTACTGTTTCCCCCAAGACCAAGGTTTTTGTGACATGGTGCAAGAATCCTCAAAACTTTGGATACGGTTTCATCTGTTGATTATTCTTACCTAAACCAACTGTTGCGTTAAAAATTTAAAACTCTTTTTTTTTTTTTTTTTTTTTTTGTCTTTTTCCTTTTTATCGGTACCAGGGATCGAACTCACGACTGCCTGCTTGCAAGGCAGGCACTTATGCCGCTGAGCTAAATCCCCAGACCCAAAAATTTAAGATGATTGTCTAACTGGCATCCTTTCCATATTTATTGATAAGAATTCTCCCCATCAACTAGGGCTATTAGGTTGTTCTGAAATAAAGTTTACACAGGAAATGGAGAATAAATGTTTTCTTCCTTTAAATTACCCATTACAGAAGCTGGATGTGGTGGCACAGGCCTATAATTCCAACATGCGGAAGGCTGGGACAGCAGGATCCCTGCAAGTTTGAGGCCTCCCTGGGCTACACAGTGAGTTCAAGGCCAGCCTGCACTTGATAGCAAGACTTTGTCTCAAAAAAAAACAAAAAATAAAACAACAGTGAAGCTCTGCTTTACAGTCCCCTACTGTTCTGAAGATTTTGTCACCACTAGAGATTACTCCTCTAATTCTTCTTAACTCCCAGGAACCCAACAGGAATATACAGCACATATAAAAGGTCTGTCTCTGGGAATGAGCAGGAATGAGTTTCCTGACAAAGTCTGCTTACCAGTGATTTAATATTCCCAGCCTAGAAGGTCAAGGCTGTAAGGCTGTCCGATCCAACTACCTACCTGAGATTGCAATCTTGTTTATGCCTCATCAAACTCTTGTCTCTTCTATGGGGTTAAGGGAACACACAGCCAGGTATGTGCTGGAATTCCAGTATGGTTTTAATGTGAGATGTGATGGTTTGAATCTTTTTTTGTTTGTTTGTTTTTATCGGTACCAGGGATCGAACTCACGACTGCCTGCTTACAAGGCAGGCGCTTATACCACTGAGCTAAATCTCCAGGCCTGATGGTTTGGATCTAAAACAGCCCCCCAGAGGCCACATGCTGGGCTATGGAGGTGATAAGCTTATGAGGCTAATTCACTGATGGGGTCATACTTACACTGGGGGCGAGGGAGGCTGACAAACCCATGAGGTGAGGCCTTGTTGAAGGAACAGGTTATGGCAGTGTGACCCTGGGAACTGCATCTGTCCTCAACCACTTCCTGTTTGTCCCTCTCTGTCTGTGTCTCTGCCCCCAGGCTCCCTTTCTGGCTGCACAAAGTGAGCTGCTTTCCTCCCCCAAGCCGCTCTTCTGCTGTTTCTGCCTCACTACAGGCTTAAAAGCAATGAAGTCTGCTGATCATGTAAGGAAACCTCCAAAACCGTGAGCCAAAATAACCCTTTCCTTCTCTAAACTGTTACGTGTGAGTATTTTGTTACAGTCCGGAAACCTGCCCATGTAACAGATGCAAGTTTAAGTTCAGTGGAGGTAAACTGAAAAGATACTCACAAGACAGCCCACAAAGTAGATGACCCAGTACCTTCCTCACTGACACATAAAAGAAACAGCTCTGTAGAACTCTCAAATTAGAAATAAGACAGCAATAAGAGTAAAACATTTGCATCTGTTCAATAAGAATAGTAGAATACAAGAAAGATAAAGATCTAGGAGTACTTCCGGCTGTATTTAAAATTGTGATATATATAACATACATAAACAAAAATTAAATTATACAATATAGTGAATAATTACAGAACCACTACCCATGAGCTCATCATTGGAGTCAAGAAATAAAATACTATTACCGTGTCAGAAGCCTGGTGTGGGTCTCCTTGGGTAAAACGACTTCTCTCCCACAGACTTTGGTGACCATTATTTCCTACTAATTTTTATCTTTTTACCATGTAAATAGGCATCCCCTAAACAGCACAAATTATTTTTGCTTGGTGTTGTTTGGCTATTTGTTTGTCCTTTGAGACAGGGTCTCACTTTGGGTTCCAGACTGATCCTGAACTCACTGTGTAGCCCAGGCTGATCTTAAGCTCCCAGTCATCCTCCTGCCTCAACTTCCCAAGTGCTTGGATTACAGGTATGTATCACTGTGCCTGGCTGTTTTTGAACTTTAAATAAATGAGCCATTCTTTCTAACTATCTATCTGTAAGCTCCTCTTTTCTTTTTTCTTTTCTTTTTTTTTTTTGAGACAAGGTCTAGGTTGGCCTTGAACTCAAAGAAATCCTCCTGCCTCAGCCTCCTGAGTGCCAAAATTACAGTATGTACCACCACACCCAGCCTTCCTTGATTATTTTTGATATTCATTCACTCCATTTTTTTCAACTAAAGTGAAATTCATATAACACAGAATTCATCACTGTAAAGTGAAAATTTCTCATTCTCATTACTTATTAAAATTCCATTTTATGACTATATTATGATTATTTTAATCCATTTTATAGATAGGCTAGTGAGGTCATCACGAACAATAAATAATAAATATTTTTGTATTTGGATTTCAGTTTATAGGTGCATGTATCTAGAGAAAAAAATCGGAGTGGAACTGCCTATCTTCAATTTTACCTAAGGCAAACTGTTTTCCAAAGTGTCTGTACCAATTTACATCCCCAATAACCATACGTGAGGGTTCCAAGTGCTTGTCCTATGTCTTTATCAAAAACTGTTATTAGGCTTCTTAATTTAGGGGAATGTAAGTTTTCTATTTAAATGTAAAAGTAAGTTTTCTATTTAAAAAATACTGCTCCATAGCTGGGGATTTAGCTCAGTGGTGTAAGCGCCTGCCTGGCAAGTGCAAGGTTGTGAGTTCGATCCCCAGTACCAAAAAAAAAAAAAAAAAAATACTGCTCCTGGAATCAGTTTCTTCAATGAGAAGCTCCATTTAGCAACAAAGTATTTTAATGACTCACTTAATAAATGCTGGTGGCATATCTCTCTTCAAAATCTGATCTTCAGTGGTTTGAACAGTCTCTTTTCCAACCTGCAAGAAAAACAGATTCATAACTCAAACATAAATTCTCAGACCACTAAGATCACTTCCACGATACACGTGGATAACAATATGGAAAACATGTGTGCAGTGTCACGCTGCAGCTAACTTGAAGGCACCCTTGAGAAAGGGGGAAAAGAGAAATTCATCATCAAAAATAGGCACGTAAATGCATTTAAATCACAAAATCTGCTACATCTTTACAAGGTTATACAAGATGTATAAATTAAAATTGGGTAGTCTAAAATATCTGCATGGAAAAAAATAGAAGTTATTAGAACTGGGGAAAATACCTTAAGAAAAGATGACTTTGATACTAGAAACCAATCATGCAACTTCACTATGGAATATAAAAGTGAAGTTTAAAAAACATGTTTTCCTCTAATTATGGAGCAACTTAGAAAGAAATCACACATAATGCAGAATTCAACGATAGACTAGTTTTGTGCCCTGTAGGTAGCCATATAAACCAGTACATTACCTGTGGAAAATCATTTGCCAGTGTGTATTAGAAAACATGAAAAATGTCATACCTAGGAATTTCACTTCTATATACCTAACAAGCAATAATACCAATGTTGTAATAACAGTATTCATTAAAATATCCATGCTTTGTTAGTTATAACAACTACTCACTGATGTTTGCTTTTTTTTTTTTTTTTTTTTTGTCTTTTTGCTTTTTATCGGTACTGGGGATCGAACTCACGACTGCCTGCTTACAAGGCAGGCGCTTATGCCGCTGAGCTAAATCCCCAGCCCCTCACTGATGTTAATTACAATAGCTAAAACACCTTTTAAATAATTTATTCAATAAAGGGGAACAATTAAGTAAATTAAGAAGTATCTTTAAATTGAATACCATGGGGACCATTAAACCAAGAGTCAGCAAAAACTCTTATGACATTAGATTTCATTTAAAGAAAAAACATAAAGAACAACTACATTATCACAAGACACAAAATCTGCATGTAACAAAAACACTGAAAGAATAAAAACAAATACTTAACAGTGGTTGTATTAATGCTTAGGAAATTTTGAAGGAATGTAGATCTACACTGCCCATTTCTGAAATGTGAAAAATATAATATTGCAATAAAAAATAAGATTAAAAGATAACTAAAGTATTTAGACATCATTATTTCTACTTTAAAATTTAGTAATTATCTATTATTTTATATAAATCTTCAAAATAGTAATGGTCAAAATTTTTTTTAAATTATCCCTGGACTACAAATGTATTTTTAATTACCAAAAGATTTACACTAAACAGATTATATTATAACCATGCGTATTATGACACACACACACACACACAGATATATCTGTACTGTTTTTAAAATTACTCCTATGAGGCCAGGTGTGATGGTGGTACCCCTGTAATCCCAGCACTCGGGAGGCTGGGTTTGAGACCAGCCTGGGCTACAAAGTGAGCTCAAGGCCAAACTGAACTGCACAGTGAGACCCAACTCAAAAAGACTAAAAATAATATAAAATAAAATTAAATTAAATTAAAAAACGTAAAGAGTGCTTGGATGTCAATCTGCCTTTCTCCTTTTAATTTTCATTTATTAGTATATCTTCTAGAATGCATTGATTACACTCCTCATGGGGAGTTGGTATACGGCTACATTTTTTTTTCTTTTTCTCTTTTTCGTTTTTATTGGTACCGGAGATCAAACTCACGACTGCCTGCTTGCAAGGCAGGCGCTTATGCTGCTGAGCTAAATCCCCAGCCCCTAACATTTTTCTTTTTATTCCCCTCCATCTCCCTCCCTTCCACTCCCCTCCATCTCTTGGACCCTTTCTATTTTTAATTTCTCTTTCATGCTACCATGACAATAAAGTATTCTGTAACAAGTAAATGTACTAGAGTGACTGATGAAATTCACCCACTTTATCAAGAAGGATGAAGCTACCCGCGTGTGCTAAATCACAAATTAAGCCACATTTTAATGCCTAAGCCTGTGAAATACTTTAAACCCATAGTAAAAAGTATCTCAATCCTATCTGGCCATTCAACTTTGAATTTAAAAAAGAAAAAAATTGAGTAAGAAAAACTAAATGAACAGCAAATCTGTTAAAAGAACACAATAAACTATTCTTACAGAATACAAGTCATGCATAAATTAGTGAATACAAGTTTTTTTCTCTCAAGTTAATAGCTCGGAAAAAGCAACACACATACTACTGTGTGATAGCCAGTGCTTCTGTAGACAATGGACTGTCTGTATCGTAATAAAAGCCTTTCAAATCAGCAGCTGGTTCCCTACAATTTCTCAGATCAAACATGACAGAATATTTCCAGATGTATTGTTCACTGTATTTTCCAGCTGAAGCTAACCATTCAAAAAGCTGTGGACATGATTTTACGAAGTAAAAGATGAAGTTCAGCCACAAAGTCAGTGGTTCACACTAAGTGGAAAGGGCACCGAAGGATATTCATTTAAGCTCCATGAAGAAGATTCCTTCATGTGCACTGGGATTTGTCGAGGAGACACCAACCATCGGGGAGAAGAGTGGGCACGTTCTCAGATCCGCAGGAAGCAGTTATTCAGTGTTACAAGACACTTGTTGCATACAACTACGTGTGCTTGGCACTGTTACAAGTCCTGCCCTCATGAAACTTACATTTTAATAGGAATAAACAGAATACAGACTAAGAGTCTAATCCCAGACAATAACAATAGTGATTCTACAGAGTACAGCGTGGAAGAGTATAGAGTACAGAATATACAGGAGGTAAGGACTCTACTTTAGAAAGAGTAGAAAAAACCAGTCTTTCCTAAAGATGCAACAGCAGGGCTGAGGCTTTGACACTGAAGAGAAATCACAGACACAAGAGCTGGGAAAGAACAATTCAGAAAGCCAGGCACGGTGGTGTATGCTCATAATCCCGGCACTGGGGAGGCTGAGGCAAGAGGATTGCAAGTTCAAGAGCAGCCTAGAGTGCCTCAGGAACCTGAAGGCCAGAGTGGCTAAAGGGCAGGGAGAGAAGCACGGTACATGCTAAGCAACTACACAGCTTCTCAGGTCAGGCTGCAGTGTCTGGGCTGCTTTCTAAGCAAAAGAGGAATCAGGAGTCCTAAAGGAGAGATCCACGTGAGAGGGTGCCTTGGTGGATCGCTCTGCCTGTTTTATGGAGAAATTATCTTAGGGGAAAAGGAAGCAGCAAGGTCAGTTAGGAGACTCTGCTGTCACTCAGTGGAGAGACAGCAGTGACTTCAAACAAGATGTGAGCAGAGAAATTTTTTAAAAGCACAATTATATTATCCTTTGGGGGAAGGACTATTATAGGACTCGCTCTGGGAATGGGGTGGGTCAAGGGATGAGGAGGAGACTGTAGTGAAGAAAACTTCAAGATGACTTTTGGCCAGTTAAATGAAATGTCTTCAAAGAGCAACGATGCAAAGCTGATACACTGTATGGCAAAAGATTCCTAGTCCAAAGATACACAATCATGACCACCCCAGGCAAAGCCATTATAAGTTCCGCAAACAGGAAATATTCCAACGTCAGTAGAGGTGAGCAAAAAAAAAAGAATTGTATTTAATTACTTTGTGCCTCTTTTGCAAGAGTAGGAATAGGTGAAGAAAGAGAAATGGATATTAAAAGCACATCCAAGAGCTACTACTTATTTTTAAGTATTTATACAATGGACGCTCACTGGATCTTGTTACCCTAGGCTACAATAATACTTAGAGGGACAGCATCCACGGTCTCTCTGATGCACCCACACTCAGTCTAGAATGGCCCAGTTTTTAAGGTACAACTCCTCTAAGACTAACTAGGTAGGAGAATGCTATTTTTTACTTAAGAAATTGATTTTGCGTAGTGCTGTGCACTGGAACTTTCTGTTACAATAGAAGTCTTCTATTTAATCTATGGTCATTGAGCACCCGAAATATGGCTAGTGCAAATGAGGAACTGAAATTTAATTTTAATTAGCACATGGGACTATTAGACATCTCAGATGATGGGACCATCACTGTCACCTAAAACTGAGCTTGTCTGCAGACTCTTCTTTCTTCTAATTCATGCCTCATAATCACTGCATCAACCTTCTTTTATGCCCTTGCTTTTACAGTCTTCACAAAAGAAAGGAGCTAAGCCCAGAATGACCAAATTGCCAGGTGGACAAAAGGACCAGGCAGCCTGATCAGGAGGAAGGGCAGAGCAAGCAGTCGGTCAGAAGGATCAGAAGAGTCTGAGTACCTGGGTCACTGAACCAGAAAGACAGGCTGCGGTGGCTTCAGCAAAGGAAAGGAGGCTGGAAAGGTGAGCTAGTGCCCAGGAAGGGTTCTTTGTATGCTAAGCAAAAGCAGAGAGGGTTACGTTACCTTGCCCTGCCACCGACAAAGGGTTGGTAGCTGCTGCTCCAGATATTGCCAATTCAATCTTCTATCCCCGAAGTCATAACTCAAGGACTTCCAATAAAGCCAGTTTTTAAGATACGCTGCCCAGAAAAGCATCACCTAACTAGAGAACAACTAGCAAAGCCTGTCTAGGAAAACAAAGCTAAGCATCTCATTGTGAAGCTATCAACCAGGAGAGGATAGATAAGGAAGTGCATTTTCCTTCTCTCTCCCCACATCAGCAGAACAGAAAGTTTCTACAGCACCCATGTTTCCAAAAAACAAACAGCAGAACAATGAAGAATTAGGTATTAGGAGAACAAAATGGTCTTTGTGAGCTGGCAGGAACCTGCAGGCCTTGTGGGAAAGCATTACCCAGAGGTCAGTGTTGCATAGACTATGATTCTCCATAGAGGCTACAACTTTGCAAACAGGTCAGTAATAATCTCAACCTAAGTGTCTCAAACTTGTACAGTACTAGGTCGCCAAATCCTCTTGGCCTATTAAGCAATATATTCATACTTGTTGGAATTTATCTTGGTTTCTTGTTCTTTTTGTTTTGTTTTGTTTTGTTTTTGTTTTTTCCTTTTTATCGGTACTGGGGATCGAACTCACAGCTGCCTACTTGCAAGGCAGGCG